ATAAAATTAATATCCAAATATGCATTTTTTTGCTATAGCATTTAAGATGCACATGAAACAAGCTAAGATAATTAAAATGAAGGAGCAGGGGGGACTTTAATAATAATAAAAAATAAAAATAAATACATAGCGGCAAAGCCAAGCAGCACACGATGTTGCATGTACAATAAGTATTAGTTTAAACGAGAAAACTGTTAAACGGAGACAGGAACAGATCGACATAGATAGTTAGGCAAAAAACCTAGCGAAAATCTATAGAAACCATTTGAAGATATCAAAGAAATTATTGTCATGCGACTTGATGTACGTTTCGAAATACATATTTTCCGCAAATTGTACCCTGTTCTTTGCTCGCAGCAGCTAACAAATTTTCCTTACGTACCACGAATAAAAATAAAACAAAACAAAATACTTGGATGTTGTATGTGTATATGCTTATAAAAGTTATTCTATACATGTTCTCGTATAATATATAAATATCTGTGTTTCAAAACAATTAATTACCAGAAATGTATGTTTTTTTTTTTTAATTTTCTATATCTACGCACTTTGAAGTACATATGTAAACAAGGCACATCTATGCATATATATACGATTTAAATACCTATACAATCGATAATGAAATAAATGTCTACTCAATATACATACATACTTATGTACAACTGCATATTTATACTATGCAGTACATTATATACATACTTACACGTATAGAAAATTATTTATAAAATAATTAACCAAGTTTTTATATGTTTAAAAGAAGGCATAATAAAATTATGTAATTTTTTGTATCAGTGTGCATTTGAACACTGACAAGTATATGCGCACTCACACATACACATATTTACATTAAAATAGTTACACACGCATACAAACATATTTATCTATATCTATCTAAACACATATGCTATAACAAAACATATTAAACGTCATCGTATTGACAATGAACACACACACACACCAATTTACATTTTCAGTGGATAAAAAAAAAAGTTGTATGTGTTAAAGAAAACTCAATAAAAATTTTTTTTTGAAATAAATCGTTAGTTTTTATTAATCTATATAAAAAAAAAATACTAAAATTGTTTGTTCTGACTGGCCGAGAGACTGTGTGCTTGGTGATCAACTCACGGCCTGAATTTTTTACAGTGACTTCTTTTTGAGTTGAAAGTGAATTCGAATCTAATTTTTGAATGACAATCGATAATCCTGATCCGTAAGAGTCAAAAATAGTTTGGCCAAGATATTAAAAAAAAAACCATCAATTGGTGGTGTAAAATCCAACTCCGCTTTTGGTAATAAATATTTTGTTTCCATTTTTGTTAAATCAATAGTAGCTATCCATACGAGTTTAAAAGTCGGAATTAATAATAAAAATTCGAATGGTTCCGAATGGTCCATAAGTGTGTACATATGCCCTTTATTTCATTAGCTTTTTGCTACAGCTGTTGCTTAACAAACAAGCTAACAGCTGTAGCTACCGACTTCACAGTCGACTGCTAATAATCTCGCAAGTCAGCAGAAGCGCAACATTTTTGTTCCTGACACGTAGGCAATGAAATTTTTCATGTGCAGTGTTTTTGTCTACCTACTACTAATTTCTGTTCGCCTGGTACTTTAGCTGATATTTCGGTCAAATCTTTCTATCCAACGGCTGCCAGCCACGCCCCTTACAGGTATCCTACGAGCCATTTCTGATCGCCTAGTATTTTCGCTGAATTTCGTTCAAAACTCGCAAGCCTGCCAAGTTTTGGTAATAAGGTTGCCATTGGAAGTAAAAACACAGAAGTCTGCTTGTTTATTATTTATAAATGGTTTATTTCGTTTTAGATTGATTAGGTATTTGTGTATTTTAAATACATTATTACTTTATCTTTAAATAATACATGTACATAGATCTTAAAATTGTTTTCTATTTCATATTATTAAACACTATAATTATTTTTAAACTTTAAATCGATACATCTCTGGCACAAGATGCCTGATCCATTGCGGACTCGTAGAATGGAATGGAATTATTCATCTCTTTGAGCCTGAAAATATTACAAAAAAAAAATTAGAAGAAAACGCGTAAAAAACAAAATGAAAGCAAAAGCATCGCCTTCATCAAGGGCGGAATAATGTCGATTTAAATCTCGCCATGTTCAACGGCGGTATTATGTCGCTTCCAAAAGTCAGATAGTCCAAAAAAATAACATCATTATGTTAATCGATGGTACGGATTCATACGCGTCTAACAAGGTTTAACATTTAAAAATCAGACGATATTTTCCCGAGATATTCAAAAAAATCATCATAAAAGTTTTAATTTTCGAACTGATCCCGATTTTGAGAATTTTGCCATTTTGTTGATTTGAGTCAAAAATTTAGATTTTCATTTTTATGATGCCAATCGATAGTACTGATCCTTACGAGTCCAAAATGGTATAAAATTCCCAATTCTGACATTATTTGGCCGAGATATCCCAAAAAATCATCAGAATAGGTTGACTTCACATGCCAATTGAAAGTAGGGATCCGTACCAATTCAAGAATGTATAACATTTCAAAATCGGTAGATATTTACCCGAGATATTAAATAAAAATTATCAAAAAAGGTTGGATTTTCGGACCGACCCAGATTTTTAGAAAAACCGTGATGTAACCCCTTGCCATTTTGGTGATTTGAGTCAAAAATTGATTTGGGTCAACATTTAGATTTTCATTTTTGATGCCAATCGATAGTACTGATTCTTACGAGTCCAAAATGGTATAAAATTCCCAAATCTGACATTATTTGGCCGATATATTAAAAAAAATCATCAAAATAGGTTGACTTCACAAACGAATCGGTTTTTGGTCAACCACCTTTTTTACCCGTCGATTTCTAACTCTGTACAAACTCAAAAAGGTATAACATTTCAAAATCAGTAGATATTTACCTGAGATATTAAAAAAAAATCATCAAAAAAGTTTGGATGTTCGCACCGACCCCGATTTTTAGAAAAAACGTGCCATTTTGTTGATTTTGGTCAAAGCTTAGATTTTCATTTTGTTGATGCCAATCGATAGTACTGATCCTTACGAGTCCAAAATGGTATAAAATTCATAAATCGGACATAATTTGGCCGAGATATCCCAAAAAATCATCAAAAAAGGTTGACTTTTACAAACGAATCGGTTTTTGGTCAACCACTTGTTTTGACCCATCGATTTTTAAAATGTTTGAATGCCAATTGGAAGTAGGGATCCGTACCAATTCAAAAAGGTATAACATTTCGAAATCAGTAGATATTTACCCGAGATATTAAAAAAAATCATCAGAATAGTTTTGATTTTCGAACCGGCCCCGATTTTTAGAAAACACGTGATGTAACCCCTTGCCACTTTGTTGATTTGGGTCAAAATTTAGATTTTCATTTTTTGATGCCAATCGATAGTACTGATCCTTACGAGTCCATAATGGTATAAAATTCATAAATCGGACATTATTTGTCTGAGATATCCCAAAAAATCATCAAAAAAGGTTGACTTTACAAACGAATCGGTTTTTGGTCAACCACATTTTTTTACCCGTCGATTTCTAAAATGTTTGAACGCCAATTGAAAGTAGGGATCCGTACGAACACAACAAGATATAACATTTCGAAATCAGTAGATATTTACCCGAGATTTTAAAAAAAAATCATCAAAAAAGTTTGGATTTTCGCACCGACCCCGATTTTGTTGATTTGGGTCAAAATTTAGATTTTCATTTTGTTGATGCCAATCGATGGTACTGATCCTTACGAGTCCAAAATGGTATAAAATTCATAAATCGGACATTATTTGGCCGAGATATCCCAAAAAATCATCAATTAATGTTGTCTTTAGAAACGAATCGTTCTTTTGTCAACAGCTTTTTTCACCCATCGATTTTTAATTTGTTTGAATGCCAATTGAAAGAAGGGATCCGTCTCAATTCAAAAGGGTATAACATTTCAAAATCAACCGATATTTACCCGAGATATTCAACAAAAATCATCAAAAAAGTATTGATTTTCGAACCGACCCCGATTTTGAGAAAATATGTGATGTAACCCCTTGCTTTTTTGTCGATTTAGGTCGAAATTTAGATTTTCATGTTTATAATACCAATCCCTAATACTGCTACTTACGAGGCCAAAATCGCACATTATTTGGCCGAGATCATCAAAAAAGCTTGACATTACAAAACAAATCGGTTTTTTGCTCTAATTTTATTTTCAACCCATCGATTTTTAACCTTATAGACCATTTTTGACTCGTACGGATCACGGTTATCGATTGCTATCCAAAAAATCAAATTCCAAATTTTCTAACATTTTCACAAAAAAGGCAAGGGGCCAAAAACGGGGTATGTTCGAAAAAAAAAAACTTTTTTCACGATATTTTTGAATATCTCGGGTAAATGATTTCTGATTTTGGAAAGTTATAACTTTTTAGACTCCTACCATCGATTTGACAAAAATTGGTAGGTGTTACTTCTTAATTAATAAGAATAACGGGGTCGTTTAGGAAACAAGAAAGTTTGATGTTTTTTTTTCGATCGACATAACTCCACCGTGGATCATAGCGAGATTATGAGATTTTAATATGAGTTGAAAAACCTATATCATTCAGTTTAAACTTTAAAGGGAAAAATCTTGCAGCCAGTTGCTTTTGCTCAATCTGGTTTCTTTAGCGGCATACTTTAATACGGTTCATGTCCACGCTAACTAAATTAAGGCTATGCGATAGAGGGCGCTTTCACTTGTTGATAAAGTAGCACGTGCTTGGATGTCGTCCGGACGAATGCTCGCAAATCGAAATCGACTGCAGACAATCGTCCAGATGCCCGGATTCCGGGTAGGGCTACTCCGATCAGGTGACAACGGCAACAAGGCTGTTAGTAGTATGTTAAATATGTGGTATTTAGTAAGTATGTTAAATATATGTATATAAATAAAAATGTCTTAATTTAATATACATATGTAGGTTCTATTTTTATTTTTTTTTTTAGCGCAGCAATTGTATAAAAAGATCTTTTGGATATGGTGCTGATATATGAAGGAGAAGCTCATGAAGTTATACAATTGCATTCCGATTCCGCTTATTCGTTGAAAACCTTTGTTAATGTTGATGCGAATATTTTTCTTCCGAGTTATAATCTTCACCAAAATGAATTTCGGGTTGGGTTTTATAAGAATGTGGGCAAGCTATAATAAATCGGACTTTATATTCTATCTTCATTTCTATACTTCAGTGTTTCCTCATTTTTTCGTTTCGGACTGCTGTTCTCCGCGTTCTTATTATTTGTTGCCTCTTCTTCGGTCCACGACAATGCATTGGGTTGTATAGGTTAAAGTCTAGTTATAAAGCCTGAAGGTGCCATGTTTTTGGGTTGTGTTGATGCTAGCAGCAGTCAGCTTCCTGCGCCATACAGCAGCTTTTGTATTCGACTCTGGCTCTGACATAACAATTGCTGTGTACAGCACATCCATGGCTGTATAATAATCATCATTTGGTTTAGAACATACATATAAGAAAATGCGAAAGCGGCTTACCGAACACAGATTCTTGCCATGATATTGAAGCTTGTGGCGATGCTTTTGGCCTCGATATGTGTGAGCCTTCAGCTAGATTAGTTGTGCTGCCAGGAAATGCATTGTGGTGGCACCGCGGTAGTTTTGAAAGTTATTAAGTTGATGTACTTGTTGTTCTTGTCGATTTTCCGGCTGTCAGTATGTTTAGGTCTGTAAAGAGCGAGGTCAACCCGTCCATTGATGGAGCTCCTGTCGATGCGTCTTCAACTCTGGTCAATGTAGCCACTACTGGTGAAGGCCGTGTGGAGCTTGTCTGGGTGGACGCACTGTATGTCAATATGTTAAACCTATGCAGGTTCGATGTTGTGTTCACAGTTGTATTATTAGTCATTGTAGACTCAGTTCTAGTTGCCGGAAACATTTTTGGTGCTGGACTTTTGCACGGTTAACAATTCTTTTTTTGTTATAAAAGCTAAAAAGAAAAGCTCGTAAAATTATAAAACTATACTTACTTAGCTCTTGGCTGCTTTAAATGACAACACCAAAATGACTGAATACTTTTCTCAACATCTAAGATAACAACGCCTACTACGAACACATTTAAATGTATAAAAATGTTTCTTTCCTATAAAAGCAGATACATATATACCATATTGAGGGGTTACAAATTGTAATTAAATTTAAAATTATAATTTTTAAGTTCTTGAAAAAGCTGACAGTATAATTGTTTTTTAAATAAAACAAATTATTTTTGTAATTTTCATTATCTTTATTATATATTAATTGCCTTGCTGTTAATGTTGCTATTGAATTTCATGTTGTATATTTTACAAAGTACACACAGTATACGAAAAAACAACTTTTTGTTTGTTAATTAAAAACAATGAAGAACGCATGTGTGATGCTTGCAACCGTGCAATCCGGTCTGCTAGATCATGACAATTTAATTCGGGGGCAGATACTCTTTGAGTTGCTTTTACTGCCTAACTGAATGTGGCATAAAAAAAAATGGTATTTATTTATATAAATACATGTATATATTGTTTGAACAACATGATGTGACATTAATTAAATTTGGTATAAAAATCTAAAACAATGTTACAGTTTTTTGTTTTTTCTTTTTTTTTTTCTCATTCAATATGCATACACAAATTTGTGCATATGCACTCGTTTTGTATCAGTATATCTTAATATTTTTTTCAAATTATTATTTAATTTGTTAGCAAAAAACACTTACAATATTTCGCCTTCGTCTACGAATTCTTGCTACGACTTGTTTCTGTGTTGCACACTTTTACGATTATATTGAGAGCTGGGTATGTCGCCATCCCAAACACCCTATCTTTTCGCTGATATCTCTATAAGTTGTGTGGGCCCTTGTGTGAATGAACACTCAATTAAATATAGCTAGCTTTATTACAAACATTAATTCTATTTATTTGTTGCATTTTGTATTGTTAACTTCCTTGCGAAACTAACAGCAATTCGGGTTGAAATCGATTCCAACTCAATTCAATTTCGCTAAACTGGGCAGGGACTGGACCATCAATGACAAGAAGCCCTTCTTCATTGTGATTGCGTTTTGATTGTGTGGAGAGTCATTCAAAATGATTGATTGATTGATTATTAACAAGCGGCAGAGCACAAAATAAACACTAATTGGACTTAAAAACATAACAACAAAGTTTTAAATATACATAAGCACGGGCCAAACTTTGTTACTTTGTTCTCTCTGTTTGTATGTACATCGCTAATCAGCATCAACAACAACAAGAACAACAAAATAACAATTTGGCCTCAACATAAAATACATAATACACATTACACATACATAAATATACACACTTATGTACAAAATTCATACAATTAGCAGTGGACGTTATTAGAGACACAACACAGGTCAACATAAATCTCGCTCTCTCTTTTGATCGATTCGACTTGACTTGCTGGCCTTTTGGTAGCTGTTTAAATTTTGAAGCGCCATTTTAGCCGAATGCCCATACATGAGTTACATACATATATCCATAAGTATTCCCTATATACGCATACAAATGGCAAAATTTACACGTACTTAGCTAATGCAAAATATTATATATACACATATGTATACTATTTCAGGGGTCGCTCGTAAATTGGAATTGTCGTGTGTTTGGCATTTAATTTAATGCAATTGTTGGTTTTTAATTTTTCGAGAAACTAAAATAATACAGTATTTTAAAGGAGCTATGGAACCGAAAGATTGTCACTTTTCGAGCGACCTCTATATATACATATGTTTATGAATATATAATGCATGCACATATACACTCACACTCTCTCACATATACACACTCGCATATGCACACTGTGCATTCAGCACATGCATATAGATATATTAAGTTATCTTCGATACTCGGTTATAAATTTTGGCGTTTTCCATTAGGTGTAGTTGCAATAGTAGTAGTACATGGTATTATGTAGATAGCTACTTAAACTCGTAATCAAACTCTTAATCGAGCTCCACAATTTATTTCTGACCTGACTGTCAATATATATTCAATTTGATTGCAATGCAAATATTTATATATCTTTATGTATACGTATATATATATAAATATATGCGAAGGTATATAGTAGATATATACTTTCGTGAACAATTTGATAAACTACAAATCGCATTTGCTCGATTGTAAGCGTGCCGAGTCGTAACTTAATTCAATTGAAGTTTACCAAGTTTCGTTTATCATGGTATTTTGACAGTAAGAAAACACTAAGAATTGCCGTGTCTTATGCGTAGGAGACTGAAAGCGCGTACAAAATAAACGCTTAAAAATAGTTTTCTCTATATACAGTTCTTCCGAAGTGTGTTACCAACTTTAAAATTCTTATTTAAGCTACTTATTAAAAAAAAAAACAGATGAATAAATAATAATAAAAAAAATCATATCCGAATATAATAAAACAAAACGTTAAAAGTAAAAAAAAATAAAAGAGCAAAACCGAGCTGCTAAGCGATTCCCAATACGTGCGTATAAAATATACATAAACATATATATATATATATATATATATATGTATCTATCTAGCTATATATCTGACTGAAGCTTCAGAAGAACGTGGAGAACTTGCGCTTGTTTGGCGTCTTGCTGATGTTGAGGTGGCTCTGGTTGCTCCCGTTGCTGTGCTTGGCGACCAGCACGGACACGGGCATGGGTATGGGCACCGAAGCGTACGCCGCCGGTTCTGGCCCATTGCTTAATATGGCGCGTTGCAGTTGTTGTTGCTGCGCGTAGAAGGCGGCCGTCGCCGTTGCAGTGGCGACTGCACTGCTGGCTGCTGTTGCTGAGGCGGGTGGCATTACGACGACGGGCACAACCACGGGTTATACGGAGATCTCGTAGTTCATATCGTAGATGCTCGCGCGATCCGGAGTGCCAGTGGCATTTGCCGCAGCAGCGGCTGCTGCTGCTGCCGCATTACGTCCAACAGCTGCTGCCGCGGCTGCAGCTGCCGCATTCTGTTGTGCCAGGCTCGTCGGTACGCCGCTGGGCAGACCGCCATTGTTGCGCGCCATGGTTGCAGCCGCCACTGCCGCTTGCTGCTGCTCAAGTGTCTGCATCTCCATGGAGTCGGTCATTTCCAGGGCGCGCACAAAACTCATTGGCCTCGTTGGCGTCTGCTTGCGCTTGATCTGTGGGGATGGCTGGGACTGCAGCGCACCAGCTGCGTTGCTCACATTAACGCCGGCCAGCGAATTTGGCGGAAAAACTGGAACACCGCCGCGCAGCTGCGGCTGGTAGCCGCCAGATCCAGAGCTGGCATTGCTGGAAGCTGGCACATTGGCAATGCTACCGCTGCTACCTGAAGCTGCAGCTGCACCACCACCGCCGACGCCGCCACCATAGCGCAGAATGTAGCTTTGTGCAGCGGACGTTTGGGGCATGGTCGTAGGGCTTGTGGGATTGGAGCGATGATATGAGGCAGCCGCTGCAGCGGCAGCAACAGCTGCTTGTTGCTGTTGTTGTTGTTGCTGTTGCTGCTGCTGCTGCTGCTGCTGTTGGTTGGCATAGTCCTGCAGCCGTGAGTGGGTCATGATGAGTGGATGGGCACCACCGCCGGCTGTTATGTACTGGGCATGCTGCATAATGCCAACCGCATTACTGCTGTTTGGCAGTGTGCCCGCACTGCTGCCAATGCTGACAGCAGCCGGGCCGCCGCCACTACTAAAGCCGGGCGAGGTGTCCTTCCACATGTAGACGCCGCGCTGCGGACTGCCAGCCAGTTCGCGTATGTTGTCCACCGTGTTGTTCGAACGCGCATAGGAGAGCTCCCCGCCAGCGCCCTGTCGCACCAGCTCGCCCTCAGACAGAAAGCGACGCTGTGGGCTGCCGCCATAGGCAGCCTGCGCCAGCGATTGCTGCTGCTGCTGCAGCGCTAGAAAGAGGAGCCAGAATCTGGCATTAGTTATGACTGCAAAGGGAGACTGCCGAAGGGAGACTTACCTTGTTGCTGTTGCTGATGCTGCAGCATAACACGCTGCTGTTGTAGCAGCAGCTGTTGCTGATGTTGAATCGTTGGCGCCTGCGGATGCTGCGGCGGCAGGCCGCTGGTGTACTCATAGTAGGCAGCTGCCGCTGCGGCCGCCTGCTGTTGCTGCTGCTGTTGTTGTTGCTGCTGTGCCGCCTGTGCATTCAGGCCTATGAAGTCGGGACGTCGCGGCTGCGTGGGTGTACCCGGATTGGATCTGCGAAGGAGGACGAGTCGAGAGTGTGTGTGAGCGGTGAATGCGAACGTTTACAAAGCGGGTTAAAGAGCGAGTTATGTTAACGAATAACACTGAGGCTGCGGTCAATAACAGCGCGCCATGTTAATGTTAGGACTTGACAGCGCAGAGTAAAAGAATGCAAGTCTGTGTGGGTGTGATTGTGTGTATTTGGGTGCGCGCAAGTGTGTGATAGTAATGTATGTTTGTGTGTGCGCGGTTAGGCTACAAACTTGGACCACAATATCGTTAGGGTATTTAACATTGACGATTAGTAACAGTTATGCAACAGACATGTTCACGCTTCACAGAGCGAGAACGTGCACGAGCACGAGCATAGACGAGTTAGACTGAAGAGGGCCGTTGCAGGGCCCACATATAGAATCGATAGACGATAGATATATGCTATCGATAGACAGTGATCAGTAATCAGTAATCAGTAATTGGTTATCAGTTATGCATAGACCAATTTTGGAATGAATCCTTTTATTATGTACAATCGACACCACTGCCACTATCTTGTGTGTATAAATAAATGTGTTAAACAGTTAGCTAGCCGAGAACGTAGATGACCTTTAGTTATTTTGAAATGACCTCAAGCAACAATTCAGACAGACATTCAGCTCACGAGTGGGGGTCGCACACAAATGACGTTGGGGACAATTGGCTAGGGCCAGTGGCTCCTGGCGATGCGCTGCACAAAATCGACAACGGTCCGCGGCACATCGGAGCGTACCAGTTTGATCAGCAAATGGAGTATATTGACGACACAGTAGAGGATGCTGCAGCCAAGTATGATGGGCGCCAATAGTAATTTGGTCTGCATTGTATAGCGTGTGGTATCCTCAAAGTCGAAGAACTCCCATAGATTAGCATGACCGAGGAAATGTCTGCGCAGCTTAACAACCTGCCCCTTCAGCCAACTAAAGTACCAGCATAGGAAGAACAACACATTCGATGTCAGATAGCCAAGTAGGAAGCCCGTCAACGTAATGTAGTCCATCGATTGATTGACTCCAGCTGCATTGAAACTGCCACCTGCTCGCATCTGCCCAAAGCGAAAGCCGTTTAATTTCAGCGGCCGACTATAGATTCTTGGTGGGATCAGTAATTCTTCCTTATGGGCCGGCTGACTATTATTTAATACGTCCTCAATTTGGTTGTTTCCGTCCATGTTGCTATTGTAGCTGTTGCTTGCCTTTAAAGTATTGTTGTTAGTGTATGCGCTGCTTGTCTTCATATTATTACTGTTGTTGTTATATGAGCTGCTTGACTTTATGGTATTATTATTATTATTATTATTATTATTGTATGAGCTGCTTGTCTTTGTAGTATTATTATTACTATTGTAGCTGTTATTGTTGTTGTTAACATTATCACTAACAACGTTGTTGTTGGGGGTGGTGTGATTGATGCTGTTGTTGTTGTTGTTTGTATTGATGTATTCGTCGGTAAGCGGCTGTCTGCTGTACTTGGCCAATATTTGATGAAAACGTTCGCTATTATTGTTGTCGTTGTCGTTGTTGTTGCTGTTGTTGTTGTTGAAACTACTGTTGTTGCTGAAACTATTATTGTTGTTGCTGAGGCTGTTGTTGTAGCTGCTGCTGTTTTTGTAGCTGCTGCTGTTGTAGCTGTTGCTGTTGTTGTAGCTGCTGGTGGTGTTGTCGTTGCTGTTGTTGTAGCCGCTGCTGTAGTTGTTGTTGTTGTAGCCGCTGTTGTCATTGCTGTAGGTGTAGGCATCCTCGCCACCTGCCTGATTATAGAAATTGTCGTTGTCCGCCCGCCACGGTATGCGCTCCTCCGGCTGGCGCTGTAGATGCGGCTGACTGGCAGCGAGCTGTGGCACCATCCTGGGACTGGCCATGTCGTTGCCACCCACGATGCCATTTGCGCAGCTACGCAATGCATTGACGCGACTGATCGCAGACGTCGGCGATGATGTTTTAAATGTTTGGTAGGGAATTGACTCCCGTCGATCTTCTGCTGCTGGAAATCGTCCATCGCCAGCGTCTCCGTCCAGGCCACCACGCGGCATATGCAGTGACAATGGGTTCGTCTCGAACTGCATCCCATTGAACTGAAACTGGCGTCGATTGCGCAGCTGTGGTATGGTTGCGGCAGTCAGGGGCAACGTCTTGTCCAACAGACCCAGTGATCTGACGCGACCAGCGTTGAGCTGTGACTGTTTGTTCTTATTCATATTGCTATTGCTTTTTTGTAATTTAAAAAAACGGTTCGTACCGCAATTTGGCGAAATTCAACTTGTTAGCCGAAAGAAATATAAAAATTTTAAATGTTATATGAAAAATACAACAAAACGAGAATTTGTTTTGTGTGTGGCAAAAAATTTTTGATACTAGCCTGACAGACTATGTGAGCTATGACATTCGTATCTGTGTCAATATTGTATGAATGAATTATTGTTATAGCCAGATCCAAGGCCCAGATGTGACTGAGAATGAGCAAAGCCTGCTAAGCGGGCCTCGATTTGATTTCGATTTAATTTGGGATGTGGCGACTCTTAGCGAAAACAAAACAACAATAGTTATCTTCGAATTTGCCGAAGATCGAATACCCTTGCAGACAAATACGGCAATGCAGGATATAATACTCCCAACTTGGAACCCCTTTTCGAACGATTGTAGCTCGGTTTTCTATATAATATAGTAGTCTGTTTCGGCCCAAAAGCGGTTCCATGCCAGGTTTTACGACGAAGCTTCAAGTCTGAAAGATGATGTTTTTCTCTGTATGCTGCATGATTCTATGACCAACAGACAGACAGACATGGCTACAGCGACTCGAATGTTAATGCCTGATCAAGATGTCTCATTTAATGCGCTACACATTTCGTAAAAACATTATCGTACCCTCTGCAAGGGTATATATTTAAAAAAAAAAAAAGAGTGAAACGGCACCAAAATCAAGAATTCACTCACCTTCAATCAAATGAAAGCTGAGGTAGTAGTACATAGAGTGGGTGCGCTTGGTGGTGACGCTAGTTGCAGTGGTACTTTCTAGGAGTGTGTCTGTGTCAAAGAGTGTGTGTGTGTTCGGTGTGTGTGGACGGATACGTTAAAGAGACAACTGTCGCCTGTCGTATGTCATCCGACGTCTATCCACATAGAGACGTAGGCAGAAATGAGGAAACGGGTAGACACGATACTTTGAAGAATATCTTAATCGGTATCGGTTTCGATTTCGGTTCAGGATATGGCTCGAGCTCAGGCTCAATTCTGCTGTGCGCCTCTTTGGCCGATTACAGAGTGTAAGTTTGCATGGTATTAACGACCACGCAAGGTAGGTGCTTACTATTAATATATTAATAGTATATATATATTAATATCATTAATCGTAATCGTAATCATGACTTTTATCGTCTCACTTTAATCCTAGTTTATTTGTTGTTGGTTTTCTCTGTATTTGGTTTTCATATTATGTTTTATATGATTATATATATTTTTTATATATTTTTTTATATATATAATTATATATATATATATATATATATTCTTTTTTTTTTTTGTGGTAAGCTAAGCCTAGGAATTAGTACTGTTCTCAGAATTTGAGTATTGACTACATCGAGAGAAAAAATAAAATAAACAAAGAAAACGAAAAAAAGAAAAGTTTAAAAATTAAATTAGTTTAAAAGTGTGTAAACAAATCATGGGAAAAAGCTGTGTGCAAAATTTATACCCATATGTGGATGACATAGGAAGAGAGCATATTCGTATTTAGGACGAGGCGAAGGAGACATTATATATCGACTAAAGCGTGTAAGTAGTACAACGAAAGAGAGGGAGACAGAGCGAGAGGGAGTGAGAGCGAGCGAGAGGAACATTGAGGAGGATAGACCTCGTCGCAACTGATGTATAGCTAGCGTTCGTTGACCTCTCCAAGCTATTGCCAGCTCGCTCACTGTCGTGCGCAGCGAGTTCAAGATGTACAGTAAGCACTCCGTACATGAGAATGGTCGAAAGCACAAAACAATGACAACAACAACAAAAAAAAACAAAAAACGGCTGAGGAGCGCATTTGGCAGCAATTACTTACAGACTCCTTCATACACAAACACATCATATAACATACATGTTTGGTGGGCACTTTGATATAAGCCATCAAATCGAGCTGATCATCAAAATAGCAATAGCAACAACAAAAAATTGAAGCAATTGTACATTCATTTACAGCAGAAAGCAGCTCAACAAATGAATATGGCTAGCTGGAGAAGTTCAGTTTAGTGGCCGCTGGCTGCACCATTGCAGCACTGGACCACTATGTGATAGATCCACTCACCTTCTCACTGGACTGGCGATGACGAGTGGCGTAGCCACGCCCAGTGGCTTGATTCGTTGTTGCATGGTAGGCGTGGCCGTTGTGGTACCACCGCGCTGGCTTTGTGCTACTGATATGCCCTGCTGACCATTAACGACATAGCCACCGCCCGGTTGGTCCGGCGAGAGCGCATCGCTTGTGTAACCGCGCTGCGGATCCAGGCCCCTGAAAGCAAATGTGCAGGATGTAATGATGTACGTATTTTGGGAGCCGGCAGCTACTCACCTGGTTCGCGCGTGCGGACTGTGACGTGGATGATAGATGCGCAGGTGTCGCGGTGAGTCGCCACCGCCGCCAGTCTGCGATGAGTTGGGGACACCACCTGCGCCACTAGCAATATTGCCATTGTTCATGTTGCTCATATTCATGCCGGGCGCGGTGTCGCTCACCTGGGGCAGGTAGAAGTTGGTCGAGTTGTGCCGCTGCAGCGGCGGAGTCGGCTCGCAGTCTTGACTCTGTGAGGCGGGCGGCGGCTCAAGGTCCGTATCGGAGCACTCCCGTCCCGGTGACAGCTGTGAAGATCGCAGAACGTATAAAAAAGTTCTAAATTAGTCAGGAGCTTCATTCGCTTGAGCAAGTGCTTAACACAGAAAACCTTAGGCCTACATAAAACGAGTAGTTGCGATTGATCGATTTGGAATGTACTTGAAACCAAATGAAAACGAAACTTGTGTTTGTTTGTGTGTGTGGGTTGGACAAATGAATCGATGCCAAATGCCGAATGCCTAATGCCAAATGTCGATTGTCGAACGCCGAATCTTGGCCAGAAGTGAACGATGCTACTAGTGTCTCCTGTATACATATAACGCACAGTGTGAAAGATGCCCGAATCCGGGTTAAGATATAGAAACTGTAATCATTTTAAAGTGTATTTTTTGTTGTATTGTTTTTTGCAAGGCATGATATTTATAATTATTTTATTTGGAAAAGAAGAAAAACTGGAATTGATAGATCAAAGCTACGAAATTCAGCGAATTTACTGAGCATTCAGATCACAAAGAGAAAGAAAAATGTTATTGAGTTTAGAAGAGATATATGTATATATATATAAATATAAATAAAGGGAGTGATTTTACATTTAAGAATTGAATATAATCAATATTTGGTGAGAAAGCAACAGAAAAATCATATGACAAATTTCATATCAATCAGTTTTCAATCATTATCAATCAAAATGTATTTATCAGTACATAATTAAATTATAGAATTACATATATATTTTTTTGATAAATTTTTTTCGTTGCTTATTTTAATTTTTTGTTTTTTTGTTTTACCTTTTTCGGTGCTTGCAGAAAGTGTAGAGTTTTGTTTTTCTTTTTTGACCAATTTTTTGTTCATATATTTTCTATATACGCTAGTAACTAAATTGAAACATGGTTGCACAACAGTCTGCGAGTGAATTTACAGCACAAATCCAGACAAACGAGCCAATCAACTAATATAAACAACAGAGCAAAAGCTTAAGTACTTATAACCGCATGCAAAATATCAAAACGTCCAAGCTAAACGAAACAAACTAAATGAAAATAATAACTAACTAAACTAAATAGTAAATATCGCCAAATAACTAGATTCGGTTGAAAGCGAAGCTTGAATACTGATCCCAATCAATAGAATGAAGTGATACGAAGACAGCCTACATGAATCTACTCAAATACATATATTACTATTATTATTATTATTAATATGAAGTTGGAATATAGCATCAAACTATTTTTTGAACCTTTGGGTAATATTTAACTACAATTCATACACATACACTAGCCTGTAAACCTTAAACAGAGTACAAGTCATCCTGTGAGGACTGCTCGGAGATAGTTTTTATTTTATTTATTATTTATGCACAACGCGAAAACGGATGTATGGTTTTTTGCAATAACCGTCTTACTGTTTGTTGATCTGTGTGAAATAGACGATATATATATCTATGTCTTGATCTTCCACAATTTTAGAGCAGCAGAACAGTCACCACCTTTTTCTGATATCCCAACTTATTTAAGTCATTTTGTTTTACCTTAATCTTCAAACATTAACATGTTCCTGCTATGACCTTGAAGCGGTTAATAGACAGCCCGACTTTCTACTTTAACCCTAATAAGTCATACCAAGGACTGCGTTACAAACAACGTGACAAAGCTAAAATACTCTAAGCAGGTGCAAGAAAATAAAGCAAGCTTGAAATACAAGAGATACATAGATAGAGGATATAGCGTTGGCGATATAAAAAGAGTATGAAAGTGTGTGCAATATTGCTGCTTGTGCTTGATTGTGTGTGTGTGTGTGTGTGTGTGTGTGTGTGTGTGGTGTGATGTGTGGTGTGATGTGTGGTGTGATGTGTGTGTGTGGTGTGTGTGTGTGATGTGATGTGTGTATGTGTTAGCAATGCTTAATTGTATGTCATATTTCTATGTACGACTGGCCGTGGCAACTATTGCGCAATTAATGTTTGCTATGCTAACAAACGCTTATAAATATATATTACAAAAGTATCTGAAAAGCGCGGACAGAAGCCAACTCAGGTCACGATAAAAATGAAAATTTCGCTTAAGCCGTGTAATGAAGCGGCAACAGTGGCAACGGCAGTTGGCTTTTTCTTTACAATCTACAAGTCAATAATTACGACAGGACGACGGGCAAACAAACTGTGAGTTAAATATACAGTTCTGGGTACAGCCAAAGGGGAGAGGGGGGGTAGCTATATAGATGTCGAGCGGATGTGATTAACATGTAGATATGATATAAACTAAAAAGTAAAAAAACGAAGCAACAAACGCAATTGGCAGCCGACAACTCAAATGCGCATGTTAAACATAGTTAGCAAGCAGAATGTGCGTGTTAAATGTTAAATACAAGTCAAGTTAAGTTAACAGCCAATACAAAACCAATTCAATAAATTACAATTGCAATTAAATGAAGAAAATAAATGAAAGACAACAACAAGAACAAGTGGCGTCTATAGTTGTTCAGCTGCTTGTTGCAGTTGCCACTTGAGAAAGTCAACAGATACAGAAACAAAGTCAGTTACAAGTGAAACTTTCACAAATAGATACATGGTTATAGTTATAGAGAGATTTATAATCGTTTTGCATAGCAATTTCTGCAATGTTTCGTTTTGGTTTGCAAAATGTTACCCACCTTACTATAAAGCGTTGTGCTGCCCGACCGCTGATTATAACCATTGCCCTCGGCCATATAAGTCTTTACCTGAATTCCACGCTTCTCCCGACTCGACTCGTAGTAGGAGCGGGGTGAATATTGTACCGAGGTGCCGCGCATTCCACTGCCGACGCCGCCGGCTGTACTGCCATTGCCACCGGCTCCGGCTCCGCTACCGCTACCGGCATTGGTCTGTTGATTGGTCCGATCGTTGCATATAGTGCTTATTGCTTGATTTTGCGTCTGAGATCGTCGCGATGCGTACTTCTTCGGCTTCAGAAGACTATCAGCAGGCAAACAGCGAATTAGCGAGTCATTGGTAATTCATATAAATCGTAAGTCTTTATTACCTGGGATACTGTGGCCCGAACTGAGTGTAGCAGCAGTTGTGCCAACAGCCGCGCGAGAACGGATTGTAGCCGCCCTTGAACTTGCCAGTCACCTGTTCGTTGGTGGTGCGACCCCGCGATACCAGCACCATGTGGAAGCCCGTTAACCCGAATATCGGTATCGCCAGTACAGTGACAAGGCCCATCAGTATCATGCTATACATTCAAAATCAACGTTTACAGTTAAGACAAACCAATCTGGCAATGTATACGAGCTGAAAAGTGTGTTAACTCAAGGCTGCAAGCCAAAATTATTTAGACATAATAAAAGGCTAGAGCTTCAGAAGGAAAAGAACAAATCTGTTTGTTAAACAACCGGCTATGCTCTAGTCTGGCACTTTAGAGGCTGGTTTGCTTTTGGTTCAGTCTTTAACTTACACTCTTGCAATAAAATTCAGTTTTCGATTTACATATTTTGTTGTGAAAAGGATACGCGACAATGGGCGCCGTCTGTTTAATGTTGGGCATGATTTTGAGCACGTAGAACAGGCAAAGCGAGAAGATGCTCAGCATATGGATGGAGAGTGATACGAGAAAGAAGAAGAAGAACCTATAATTGCGCCTGCCAATGCAATTGTTCACCCAGGGACAGTGATGATCGAATGTCTGTAGAAGTAAGAGAGAAATATTTTCATCAAATGATATCCGATTGAAATTGCAAATGCCATTGAAACTCACCTCTATGCAGTGATTGCACACAGAGCAGTGGGAGCAGCGGGGCGGGCGATAAAACTTGCAGGTAACGCACCATTTCATTTTAACTGTAATGCCATTTATCTCGGCATTCTTGTAGAGCGGGGCGCGGAACTCCTCCTCGCAGTCTTCGTCGGGCAAGGCTAAAATGCAGTCAAGTTTAGGCTGTGCGGATGACGCTGGGCACCGTTTAGCACGCTACGTACCTTTGGGTATAATGCCCGGATCCATAAATGTGGCCAACGTAAAGTTTGCCAGCACAAAGAACGTGATTACGCCCTGATAGGCCAGCACCCATGGATGACTCTTTACATAGTATTGGCAGCTGCAACAGAAAATACGAAAATAAATAAATATTATTAGCAAAAACTCACACACACTATTAATTCACAAAAAATTTGGTCAAAACTCATTGTCGGCCAGAAACATTAAGTACACGGAGTTACTAAGCAACGACCAAGCAGCACAATTCTTCTTCTTTTGCTCTCCCAACCCCATTTTCAATATCCTGCAATCACTTTAGAGTCCAGTGAACTGGAACTGTTTGTCGAGCCGGCACACACATTCCCATACACTTGCAGCTGCAGCCCACACACACATCCATGAGCCAAGGGAGACTGCCTGTGCTTAGCCTAAACAAACAACCCCTTCTTTTGCAGCTCCCTCAGTGCAATCACATTGATGTGTTTAACTTTTACCAGTTACCTGAGCTGAATGTATTGCACATTTGGCATTAGATGTGCATTCGTATGGGCATGACAAAAGCAACCAAAGCCATAGCCACATGCAATCCAATTTAATACACTTCAGTGCAGTGAGAATCAGTCAAGCAATTTTGCTTCCAATTAAAGCCAAACATTTTACCAACTATTTTGAATCGATTTCCTTCATCATATGTGAGTTAAATACATATTTCAATTTGATTGCCTAAAGAACATTAATACATTTCCAGATTATTTAACGTAGCACGATTGCTCAAACTGATTAAAACTCAACCGACAAGGAATAATAGCCTAAAATAATAATTGATCACATTTCACAAGTAGATAGCAATCAACATTTCGACATAGTGTAGTGGATTTTTCGCAAACGGTGAATCAAGTTGAAAATAAAAGTAAAATAAAATAAAATAAAATACATAAGAACCCTTTTCTGCCAATTTTGAACGCTTACGGGTGACATTTTTTAAAATCCATCTATAAATAACTAAAACGGTTGGACCATTTAGAAGCCCTATGCTTACCAACCTGCCCCTTGCGAAAATTGATAAAAACTGCCATATTTTATTACATAACTTGGATATTTCAGGAAACCAGAACTAGGTCAATTATCCCGGTATTTCTTTATGAAATAACCTCGCAGTGCAAATTAAGAATGCCACTGCTTGTGCTGCTGCGGTTGCTTCCACGTATTTCTTGCAGACTCACATTCCGGTTACGGACACGTGCAGCCTTGGGCAACTTCTAACTACTAACTGGCAACTGGCAAGTGGCAAGTGGCAAGTGGCAACCGGCAAGTGGCAGGCAAGGTCACAGTTTGGCCAAATTGCTTAAAACTTTTGCTTAACTTTGGATGCAATTCCGACAGTTCTTCTCAGCTTATCTAATTAAAATTGACTCGCTGGCTGTGACTACTTTTCTGACGAAAATGTATTTTCTCAGCCTTTGCTAATGTACCCAATTAAGCTGTTAATGGAAACTCGACAGTTTTTCATTATGATATTTTGCCATCAGGTTTAAAATACCATAAATATCAAGCTTGACTAAAATGCATATAAAATATAGAATAGCTAACTAGGCTATGGATGCTGATCAAGAATATTTTTAATAATAACATGGGGAAAACCTGTTAACATCATGTGCTGTATTTGATTGTGATCGATTTGCCAGTACATTTTATAATAACAAGATGAAGAATGGCTGGCTTTTAGATAAAATTGTGGGGCAAGTAAGGAAAGGAGGAATCTTAGAGAAATACAGCATACTCCTTATAGAAATTTTTAATTTCATGCTTGGTATTAATTTTGAATAAATGAGCGGCTTCGCGACTCAGCTACAAACCAAATCCAGGCCAAAACATGCCGCGACACGTAAAATGCAATCCGCTAAACTGCAATCCGAAGCAGCAAAAGCTTAGCCGGAGCTTAAGTAAGTATGAGATATGAGCCGTCCCAGCCTTTAAGCTGAAGGCGGCATAGGGTTTAAAAAAAGAACGAAATACGAAATGGAGCAGACAGGCCCAGGCGACAGGCGACACGGACACGAACACGAACATGGAGGTGGGAATGGTATTGGATGCTGTATATGTTTGCTCAAGGATTCTGCTGGCGTTTGCACTCGTTTATTCAGTGTAACAAACCGGAGCGTGCAACTGTGAGCCTGTGTGCTTATGTAGGCCGTGACTATGCTCAGCCGGTCCTGAGCGACACGGGCCCGGGGAAAGGGGAGCAGAGCAATAGCGTTACGCCTACAACAACCAGCTGCAGCATTGGCAATACCAACATAGCCAACATCAACAATAGCAATAACATAAAAGATTGTGCATCGAACAAATAACAAAGAGAAGCAGTAACAAGTAAAGCTCGACCGGCGCACAACAACAGACATCAATTAATGTTGGCCATCAAATTGAAACAAATTGGAAGTGACCTGGGCAACTGTAACTGCGACTGCAACAGCAACCATTCACTTTGTGAAAACTTACTGTATGTGCGCACGTTAATCCAAGCAGAAACAAAGAGACAACTGAAAACCTAAGTATTTTTGTTGTTGTTGCGTTTATAACATTTAATATTAAATTAATTCTTAATTCAAATGGAATAACTATGTTTAATTTTTATTAAATATATTGATGACATGCAGGCGGACTTTATAGGACGTATTGTTATTAGGGCTTTAAACAAAAAACTCAAACATTCGGCCCAAGAGTCAAGAGTTCGAGCTCTATATATGCCATAGTAGATCAAGTTTTAACAATTTGAATCTAATTACTGCTGAGTTTTTGTTAAAACATGAGTAAAGAGCAACAAATAGGTTTACGCATAAATTGTCAAATAACATTTTTGTGTTTACAGATATGCGATACGATCAGATTCCACATATGCTGCAAAAAGAAGCATATACAAGATGTTTCCCTTGGAAAATTGAACCACTTCAAAAATATCCCGGTCCCAAGATAAATAAAAAGACAAGTGTATTTATCTATGTGAAATTTTAGATCGTAAAACGAAAACATGAAATGTGCTTAATAAAGGCAAATAGCATACATAAATAAAACAAACAAACGCTTACTAGTGCAACGCGAAGGTAAATGGCCTAAAGCATATCTATATATAAGTATATACATATGCATTTGCTGGTCGAAAGTTTGAGGCTTGGCTCCTTTGTGTTGGACGAATCGCTCTTGTATGAGCCAGTTTAAAAAGGTTTAGAACTGAAAATCCCAAAGTAAATGGGTGCCGTTCGTTGAGAAGACGAAACTATTATATCTCGAGACATAAGACGGAGGGAGTTGTGTCAGAAATGAGTAGAAAACTGTTGAATGAAACTATTTACAACTATTTTTTATTATATCACTTGGCTTTGCACTTAAAGCTGCTGACAATAACTAAAAAAAAATAAATAATAAAGCATATTTAAAGCGTTTTAAGTCTTATTGCTCTTGAATTTAAGCTATGCAATTGATTTCAAACAGCTTAAATTTTACAGTTTTATGGCTGGTTGGATTCAAGGACGCCCCATTATGTCTTCCTTGCATTGCCCCAGCTTGGAGAAATAGTTTTGATGTGAATAGATTCACAGCGGGTGGTTAAGTGGAGACTGTAAACTGAAAGCGCTTTGGCTTTGGCAAGAGCATATCCGGTGCATTAGGTGAACGCACAGCGGCAGCATTTTAGCTGATACCCTCAGCTGTCGGTATTCTGTTTAGGAAATTGAATTCTTATGTAATGCGACACAGCAAGACGCCGAAGAGGATACAGTGTTAGCTGCAGTTGGCAGTTGGCAGTCGGAGACCAAACGTTGCCTGATGGCCATTGGCATTGTGATAGTTCATTTCATGGCTAAGGCCCGTGTCAGAAGCAGACTACAAAATGTTTCTAGTTTGAATATGCATTTAATTTTAACAGGACCTGGTGTGGGTGTGGGTGGTATGGGAAGGGAACTTCACACACGCACATTTCATAAACAATCAACAGTTGAAGGTTGTTCGAGATTGAGTTGTAATGGAAAATGATGACGCCGGGTTTGTCAGTTAAATGCCTTGTTGTCACACTCTGCCTTGGCTGTCTGCGTGTGTGTGTCATGTTGTGGGTCAATGAAAAGCTCGCAGCACACACGCACAAAACCATACAAAAATATCATCCACTATCACACTGCTTGCCAGAGCTGGGGGCATTAGTCATCGTCAACGTCAGCGTTGTCGCCAGCGTCAACCTAGCGGCCGTCGCTGGGCCAAAATGGGCCACAGCCACAGAAGCTAGAAATACTTAAAAGCCACCACACTTATCTCTAGAGGCAATAATCGAAGTCGAAATCAAAATCGTTTACCTTAATCACGCTTTAAACCTGCCGCATAGTTTTGGCCTACAACTATTTATGAATAAGCTTTGTCTATGAGCAAAGCTTCATAAAAAGCATGAGTCGCAATTGCAGTTGGTCGAGCTGTTATCTTTTTAAAATAATCGAAGTTAAGACTTGTCGTTTAATGTATAAATGAACATAGCAAAAATTGCTCGACTTTCTTGCAATCTGAACTATTAGTTTAAGAACCCTTCCACTAAGAAGAATGAATTTTGCGATGAATTGCAAACTCTGCAGTGAGTTTTGACAAATATATACAATATATGTATAACCGTAAAAAGCTGAAATTCTACCTTGGAAATGAGTTTTAACCCGATCGGATGAAACTTTAATTTTTGCTCATACAATCTTTGACTGCCCCATTTCCACCCAAGGTTGTGAATTTTCTGAAAAAGGTGAAACACGTTTCAAATGATCTGTTAAAATGAGTGTTCATGTGTTTCATGCAACTGTTTTCCACCAATTTTCCACACTTGTGAGTGAAATTTACCAACAAAAAATTGCCAGGCATCAGTGTACCTTCAGCTGTACGTTGACAACAGTTATTCTGTCAATGGGTGCACATAGTTTTATAGTTTTATTAGGCTTTGTCATCAATTTTTGTGTTACATAAGAACATCAAGACGTACATGCCAAATACACCTTTTCACAATCTTCCAACTTTTTACTTTCGACAGGTGTAATAATAGAATGTGCGCCCGTTTCGCTACGCATTCATTGGGCAATTACCGAAAACCGAAAAATT